TAGTAGTAGTAGTAGTAGTAGTAGCTCTATCTTGCTTGTTCTTCTTACTACCAGTATCATGAACTCCTTCAACCAACAAGTTTCGCATAGCAGTACATATGTCCAATTGTCCTGTAAGTACTATCGTATGAGTTGAGAATAAGAATAGTTAGGGTTCTGTCTTGCCCTGTAGTACCTTAGATCAAAATTTGGCCAGCAGCAACTGCAGCTATTGTAATTTTTGTGAACTACTACTACTACTACTAGTTCTAGTTCTAGGCCTCTAGTAGCTGGACAAGCATCCTATAGGTTCCCAATGATACAGATATCTAAGTAATTACATCAATAAGTACTGGATACTTAGTCAGGTGGTCTGGAGTTGTTTTTTGCTAGTAGGTCACCACTTGCTGGCCTACTAGTACTATTTTCTTGTAACACACACCACCACGAGCTGGTCTCAGAAATTGCTAAATTTGGTCATACTAAAACTACCAGCTTTTAGTAGTAGATGATCATGCAACTGTGGAACTATTGGTTAGGAGACTGACACATGTACACCTCCCCAACACTAGTATGGTATAGAGTTGGTGGACCTACTATGTACAAACCAGTTGGTGATTTTGGGCCATTTTTTCCCATGTAAAATATGTCAAGCACGCCTACTGACATCAAGAAATCTTGTCCAACAACACCATTTTTTTATGAAATTTTTGTCATGATGTCAATTGATGTGTCAGAAATACATTTTCAATGAACAAATTTAGCTAAAATACCACCCAATGTTGAACCAATACTGCTTTTCATGATGATGCTGTTGGATGATGTTGGTAGCAACAAGGCAACTCATTGTCAATTGTTGGACACAGAGGAGTCCTCACAACCATGCCCTAAAGCTACCATTATGATCCCAGTGAAAGCCCTTCTCATTCCAACAACTGACAGCAAATCCCCCCCCCATCTCTGAAACTATTAGCACCAGCATCAGTAAAAAGCAACAGTATCTCTCCAGCCATAGTTCATCCACAACAGTATATCAGCAACACTAATCAGCTATCAACACCAGCTACCAACAACAACAAATCAAAGCTTTAGACTCTATCAACAACAAGAACAACAAATCAATCACTCCTGTCAGGAGCAATAATCAGCGACAGTTTTCCCCCAGCAACAGCAACAGTTTTCCCCAAACAAGCAATGGTATCATCAGCAACACTAGTAATCAGCTATCAATGCCCACTGCCAAGTACAAGAACAAATTGACACTACCAAGAACAATGAATCAACAACTTTGTCACCAGAGATGCTAAGCAACACTAACAGCAACACCACTAGTGATGTCACTCACCAACATAACCAACTGGCGTTCCTCAAGGAGCACAATGTGGTGGCAACCAGCAAGGAGGAGCACTCCAAGGACAACACTACAACTGGCAATACCAAGGGCAAGGGTCTTCATGGAGTCCCAGTCTGTAGCCTTTGAAGCAGCCTTTGACTTAGAATCCCACCCAAGGTAATGAAACTTCCGCCCTTTTTCCTCCCTTATAGTAGGTTCCTGCCAAGACCAGCTAAGTCCATAGGGATTTCCACAGGCTTGCAATCAGAAGAAGGAAGAAAGTGACCTTTGTATTTGCCCTTAGCTGCTTTGAACTTGGGTCTGTAGTAATAATGGTGCCATCCACCAGGATTATCAACATCATTCCAGTCTTCAGATTCTCCTTTGTCAACCTTTGGATCCTTCCTTTCATAGCCTGCTGGGACCTTGGGTAGTTGAGACTACTGTCAACAATAGTTCTATTCTTGCAATAAATGAACTCAGTACCATGAGGCTCAACAGCATTCTCCCAATTCCAAGCTCTCTGGCTCTTTGTAAGTACATTGAATGTCTCAGCTTGTTCAGCCTTCTTGAAACTCATTGCAGAAATGTATGAATCATAATTCTTAGGTTCAGCAGTGTCATCAACAACCTCTTCATCACTTGAGCATTCATCATCCTCAAACAAAGTATTTCACTGAGTATGCTGGCTTGGACATGTGTATTGATGAGACCAGATGGCCATATCAAGGCGTTAGTAGCGGTCCTCTTGTCAACTATTTAAAGGGAAAGATGATTACAAAAGGGGGACAGACAGTTCTCATGTCTGATGTTGATCATATCCAGGCTGGAGCTTGGAAAAACAGATACCACAGATGAAAAGCTAGCAATGGTGGGCATTCATGTGTTGGCCCTGCTGAAGTTCAACACATTGTTGTTGCTAACTATGTTCTTTCTAACATAGGACGACCTTGGAAGATTTGGAAGTCACCTTCCCATACTATCACAGCTGACAATTTCTTCCTTTCAGACTCTATCTTGGATTGGATTGGTGAGCAAGGCTTGGGTATGATGGGGACTGTTGCTAAGAACAGGTTACCCACAAAGGTTCCTGGAAAGTATTTTCACAAGAAGAATGCTGCAGGGGATTTGAACAGGAAAGGCCGTCATGTCTTGCCAAACCTATAACTGTGGTGAAGACTGTTCCAGCTGATCCTGACAAAGGAACCAAAGCATACATGTGAGTACATTGTTCATTCCAAAGCACTGGAGCATGCAATTTAGAATCAGTTAACTCTATTTCATCCTCATCTCTATATATACACCAGAAGGAAAGGGGCAGGGGGACTGACAAGTGATAGTGGGGAATTGAAATAAATGAGTCTCTTGAGGTTTATCTTTGCTATACTTATGGAAAATTAGACCATATTGATGTGTACATCTCCAGAGCCAATATTGGTTACAAATTGTGGAAATATTACCATGTGGTAATTTATCATGCAAAGGCATTGGCCATAGCCACAGCATAAGAGTGTACTGAGGGGAGCCTGGTGATGAGTGGAAGGTAAGCAACATGATGAGCTATTGTGAGTTTTGTCAGGGGCTTGCCTTGCAAATGATAAGATACAATCCCATTGACCAGGCCTATGACTGTGATTGTAGACCAAGGCAGTACATGCAAGAAAAACAAAGGATTAGAAATGGAAGAGCAACTAGAAGAAAAAGCCTCCAAGAATTTCCTCAAAAATGGAAACATGCTTGGATATAACAATTTACAGACCATTGCAGAGAACCAGGCCAATGGAAGATTTAGCTTCACTCAGACTGAGTATAAAAGATATCTGGTGGCAACAATGCCTACAAAGGCAGGAAGCAGAAACATTTGTCACATGTGTCGTGGTAGTAATACTTACAGCATGTGCAAGCTGTGTGGAGTTGTTCTTTCCAGCAGCGACGCTCATTCAAAAAAGAGAGATTCCAATGGAGAGTTGTCCATCTGAAAATTCTGCCGCAGCAACTATCACAATTATGAATGGTTTGGGCTTAGAAGGAGTGACTACTGCACTAGAGTAAGGAATGATAAAAGACTGAAAGATAGGAGTAGCTAACTGGAAGCCTTCAAGCAATGATGAGTTGAAAGATATCACTGAGTACATGAAATTCTGATTGGATATCAAAGATGATGATGATGATGACAAGGATGAGGAATACACTAGTGTCCGTGATGTTGTTGTTTCACCAAGCAGTACTGATGTGACCATACTACCTAGTGACCTCACTCTAGTACCAACTGCAGGTAGCACTGAGTTAAGCCCTGCACAGTCTCTGGAGTGGTTGAACCATTAGAATCAGTGTAAGGACAAACAAAATAGTAATTGCCTTAAATATGGATTGTTCTATTTGGTTATTGCTGATTTGATTGCCCTTCCAGTTGTTTATCTGGTTGCTCATCTAGTTGAACTGGTTGCTGAACTGGTTGTTGTTTTGGTTGCTGATAGGGCTGCTTATTTGGTTGCTGGTTCTTACAATCCATCTCCTTGTAACAATCCATCTCCTCATACTCAGCAGAATTGAAGAAAAAGTTTTGATCCATGTAATAAGGATGTTCCCACTCATCATAGGCAAACTCTTTAAAACACTGAATACAAGGAGTGTAGTTTTTTTTTTCTTCACCACCGACCTTTAGATCTCAAAGAACCACTCATGTTAATCCCCAGCAATCATCTTTGGAGACAAGAGCAGCTTAGTAAATCAAGCCAATTCAATGGCCTTTGCAAGATCTTTCTTTTTCAAGCAGGACTTCTTTAAACAACCTGCACATGCCTAGTTTACTT